CGCTCACATACATGCAGGAAATACACTCATATATATAAAATAAAAATAGTAAATAAAATATTTTTAAAAATAGATTCTGGAAGAACGTGGTAAAGTAGAAAAATAGCTCCATGAAAGGCACAGAGAAGCCCTGTGTTCCCTTTACTCAGTTATCTCTCATGGTGACATACACTCTGCCAAGCCAGGAAGCTGATCCTGTCACAGCCCAGTGACTTAGACCTCAGAGCTCACTGCAGTCCACTGGTTTTGGTGTGCGTTCATTTCTATGTGTTTGCATTGGTCCTTTGACACCTAACCACAGGCAGAGGTTCCTAGAACCATTGTGACAATCAAGGTAAAGATTTTCTTTTTGAGACAGGGTCTTCCTTGTAGCCCCAGCTAGCCTAGAACTCACTATGTAGATCAGGCTGACCTTGATCTCACCTGCCCGCCTTTGCCTCCCAAGTGCTGGGATTAAAGGCATGAGCCACCACACCAGGCAAAGGTCAAGTTGGTGCCTTGGCGCTAATCCCTCAGGATCCTGTGCCTTTTCTAAGTCCCAGGCAACTACCCAACTGTCCTCTGCACGTATAATTTGTCACTTCAAGAATATTTTGTGACTAGAATAATATAGTTTATAATCCCTTACTGTTGACTCTATTTAAACCTAGCACATGTGTGGAGAGCCACAGCCTCCGCCGCCATTACAAGATGGCGCCGGTATCCGGACCTTCTTAATAGTAAACATCCTGCTGCACCCATAAGGGGCGTGAACAAGAGCCTGCTCTCCCTCGCCTCCTCCCGTGGCGTGATCTCCAGCAACCAATCCGCTTCTTATACGTCATAAATGGGACCTTTAGGGCATATATAAGCAACAGCTCTCCCACTTCTCGGCGTCTTCGGTCTTCATCCTTAGTATGCTATGTAAGAGGCTTATGAAATAAACTGCTGCAGAAGGATCCTGACTTGTCCTCCCGCGTCGTTCTTGCCGGCGAGACGGAAAGCGGTCGGGGACACACATGTCCTCGAGAGCCACTCCAGCGGCTGTGTGGACCATTAGTTCGTTCCTCTTAGTGGCTGAGGAATCACAGCTCATAACAAGGACCCTCCCAGTCTCCTTCACGTACCAGCATCTCTCCAGAAATCCAGACTGAAGACAGGAACCTCCAGGGGCTGCAGCTTCAGGCGCACGTCCCGTTGCCCATTGCTCTGTGTTTGGCAGGGACAGACCTATCATAGCTTCTTCTCCTCTGCCCTGTCCTTCTTCTGACCCTGTATAACCCTCCTGCTCCTTGCAGGGATTTCTATTTATCTCTTAACATTTTCTTTTCCCTTTCTATAGCACTTTATTTTGTTTAATAGTATGTTAAAAAGTGAGACAAGACATATAACCTTAAGTTCACTGGAAGCAGCTTTTAGCACATCCTCGATGTGGTGCAAACATTCCTACTACCTAACTTCTGAGTGCTTCTTTTACCCCTAAAAGTAACCCTGAGCCTGTGAACAGTCATAGCAGGTGTCCCAGTTCCTCCTCTCCCCTGCCCTGGCCTCCATGGCTTCTTTGTTCTCCTTTGTAAAGAAACAGATCTATTCACAGATTGGCAGAGCTACGAGAGGCATGATGGTCCTGGTCTGGAAAAGGCTTATCTGGACACTGGGTACTGGATATCTGAAGTAGTCATTCATTCAAAAGAATGTATGTGTCCCCAGAGGGCTGGGGGCCTGGAAGAAGGCAATTTCAAAGCTACAGACCCTTCAAGCAATCATTGTCCTAAAGGGGAAGAATGGTAGAGTTCAGGGAGAGAGGATGAGGGCTCAAGATCAAGGATGGGGCAAAGCTTGATGCTGGTATTTGTGTCAGTTAAGGTGCAGATACTGAGCTGCTGGAACAGAGCATTCACCAATATTCGCACACTCTCAACAAGAGAAAGGATTCATTGAATTTGGACATTGAGGTGCAAGTTGCCAGGGAGCTCCTCAGCATAAAGGTGCCTTGCTTCCCAGTGTGGGCCAGGAGTCCATTCCATCAGTGCTCTGCTTCCCCAGGGACATGCTTACTTCCACATGGAAGCCGACCTTTAGCCAGCATTGCACCCCAAAGGAGGGACAGATGACAGCATGGAACATGAGACTGTTCTGCTAATGGACAAGACCTAGACCCTGCACACATCCTCTTTTAGCCCCCCATTGGCCAGAATTTCATAAGAAGATCACTTGTGAGGCTGGCAGATGTACACTCTGCTGGTGAGGTATTTCAACTTGACACAAACCTGGAAGAAGGAACCTTGGTTGAGGAATTATTGCTCCCCTTAGACTGGCCTGTGGGAATGTCTGTGAGGCATTTTCTTTTTCTTATTGATGTAGGACAGCCCAGCTCTCTGTGGGTGGGGGTGGTGCTATGCCTGGGTCGTCCTACATCAATACAGCCCTGGGCCTGGGCTGTATAAGAAAACTAACTGAACAAGTCAGGGGAGCAAGCTAGCAAGCAATGCTCCTCCATGGTTTCTGCTGCAGCTCCTGCCTCAAGGTTCCTGCCTGATTTGCTTCAAATATGACCTGGGATGCAGAAGTGTAAACTGGGTAAACTCTTTCCTTCCCAAGTTATTTTTGGTGAGAGTATTTTATCACAGCAATAGATAGTAACTAGGACACACATACCCTGCTGAAATGCAGTAACCTCTGGTGTGGGCAATAAAAAGAACGCAAATTGTTAATGTTACAAATTTCAAATATTCTTATCTCACCATGATAAATGTTTTGTTTTAAAAGAGACGAGGGGCTGGAGAGATGGCTCAGCGATTAAGAGCACTGACTACTCTTGCAGAGGACCCAGGTTCAAGTTCCAGCACCCACATAGTGGCTTACAATTGTCTGTAACTCCAGTTCTAGGGGATCCAATGCCTTCTTCTGACTTCCGCAGGCATTTTACAACATGAATGCACTTACACACATGCAATGTACTCATACACATAAAATAAAAACAATAAATGAAATATTTAAAAAAGAACATTGACTCCTTTTGCAGAGGACCCGGGTTTGATTCCCAGCACCCACGTGGCAGCTAATAAGTGTTTATAACTCTAGTTCCAGGGGATCAAATGCCTTCTTCTGACCTCCACAGGCATTGTATGACACAGGTGCACTTACATACATGCAGGCAATATATTCACACACATAAATAAAAATAATAAACTAGTTTACAAAAAGAGGAATCGATAAAAGTTTGGAGACAACTATCACCCTTCCCCAGTCACCAGTTCAGAAAACCCACAGTATTATTCATGGAAAATTACAAAGTATTATGTAGTCACTGTTTAAAATGCATCCTTCAAAAATTACAAAATGAAAAAAAATGACAGAATGAACGTGGCTTTTCCTGTTTATCGTCCCACCACCTTTGAAGTGATTTTTAAAAAGAAGATCTTATTTGTTCAACAATTCCATTACAGAGAGTGATGGAATTACCTTCTTCTAGGTCCCCAGCCCTCTGGGGACACATCTGCCTTCCTAGCACCGCCCCTCGCACCTCCCCTTTTCTAGATGCCACAGCTGGCACATGGTGCAATGGTGCTGCTGTGTGCTCTTTTGACTCTTGATGCTTTTTGAATCCCACTAAAACCCCCTGTGACCCCAAGGAAATCAAAGCTACAGACTGAAGATAGAGGTTTTTGGCTTTGGGGTTCATAACCATAGCCCGGCTGCAAGGTTTGAAATTATTTAGAAATATAATATAAATTGGGCAGAACCAGGGAGGAGAAGGTATCTAATGCCACCAATCAAAGACCAGTGGGAAAATTGACAGCTTGGTGGACAGTGAGGAGGGTGAGGCTGTGCTGGGACCAGGGTGGTCGGCACACCTCAGGGGCCACAATGCTGTGGTTTGGTTATGGCTTAAATGTACTCCAAGGGCTTTGTGGGTTGGGAGTTTAGGCCTCCGTATGGGAGGTTGGGCGGCAGTGGTGAGACCCACTTGATCTTTTTGAGTTCAACAGAGTCTGGTCTAAAGACTCAGGAGGGCTTGAGGTTGGTATGAAGGTGCCAGACAATCACCAGGCACCAGATAAGACCCTATTGCTAAAGACACAACATACTTTTGTTATAAAACATTGAGAAATCAAACTGGAACTGACCTGAGAACTTCCTCTCTGCTGGCTAGCTTTGATCATGGTGAAAAGTGCTATGCAGATTCCTGGGGAAGAAAAACTGCATAGCACTTTCCACTGCAAACCTTGCACGCAACAATACTGATAACAATACAGGTAAGATGTGCCCACTGGTGCAATAGTGGCGTGAAAGCTATGGGGTAGCAGCTGTTTGGGGATTGGATTTGAGGCCTGCTCTACAGGTAGGAATATATGCTTGAGACTGTAAACTTGGTGAAAGCCTGGGGCTCAGGAGGTCATAGGCTCTGGGAGGTTGGGGTATCTACTACTGTTGTCTTGTTCAATGGCTATATTGTCAAACTGCACTTTAAATCTTTATAATTGCAGATTAGTGCTGTCCTCCACTCAGCCTTGGCTAGAGAAGCTGTTATCTGTAGTGGTCAGCAATTAGCACAGAAACTCATAACTGGTCAAAGTGCTGAGAACAAGTGACTTTTGAGTGCTTAGTCCTAAATGAGACATGTGTACCACCCCCAAGGCTCAGAGAACATTGTGGAAGAGGGGGCGAACGGAACCAGAGGATGGGGGATGAGTTCTGAGAAATACCGTCTTCTGGACATGACATGGGCTTTCCACTCATGAACTCACAGCAGGTATGGTTACCTGCACAAGACCTGCACGAGATCTGGTGAACACGACCCATCAACATTCCAGCAACAGAACTAATTATATATCTTTTTTCTTTTAAAAAAGGAGAGGATATAAAGGTAGGAGAAGGATGTATTTGAGGAGCATAGAGAGTAGGAAGAGGGAGCTGAGAGTTCTTGGGGGAAGTCAGATGGATGTGATCAAGATACATTATTTAAATCTATGAAATTGTCAAAGAATAAGTAAAAACAAAAAGTATATCATCAGAGATCCAACCCCAGAGGCCATCTCCAGGTTTGCGTTCTGTGAGTATGAGAAATGAAACTTGCTGACAACAGCAAGTGTGAAAGCAAAAGAACTTTACTGAGCAGCAGGTGAAGGAGGGCTCCTGAGCAGTGTGAAGGTGTCTGACAATCTTTGGTCACCAAAGTTCCCACCTAACAGGAGGTCCTAAGAGTAGGTTGCTGCTGTTTGACTCTTGTTTGGGGATCAAAAATGGTCTTTGCAAAGAGGAGTTGGACTGTAGAGCAATCAGCTGTGAGCTGTGTATTAACATGCTGTGGTTGCTTGTTTCTGTGGTTTTTCTAAGAAACCAGGATGTTTTCAGCTGCGGCCAGCAAGCAATTGCCAGCAAGTAGAAGCCTCTTCGCTGGTGGGGCCTAACTTTTGACTTCAGTGGGGATTTTCAGAGATGGAGCCTACTAGGAGGTCACAAGACTGTCCCTTCCCTGCGTTCTGGCTTCTCATCTCTCCATATAGCCTCTTCCTCTGACAGGCACTACCACCACCATGCCATCACTGTGAGGCCATGCCTCCATCTGACACATCTTTCCTGACCTCTGTGCTGCTTGGGAGAAGAGGTCACTGAGTTAGAGACTCATGGATCTGGATGAGTTCCCACAACTTCTCTTCCAGGTACTGGGCCTGCCATCGCAGCTCTGCAGCAGACTCTGCCTTTGCCCCTCTGTGCAAATGCTTTGACTCTTTCACAAGGCTGACCACATCCATCAGAAGGGAGACACCTACGGTGACTGCACCCATGATCCGGGCTCCTCTGGTCATTGCCAGAGCGGTACCTCCAAAGGCTTTCTGCACCTGTTTAGTGCTTTGGGCTGAGATCTTCCCTGTGGTCATGAGTTGATTGGCTTTGACTGCTAAGTGAGGGTTGGCTTTGGTGAGCTTCATGGCACGGATGTTGCTTACAATGCCTCTCAGGCTTTGGATGCAATTCCTGGTTTTGGAAACAACTTTGGGTGTGCTCAGGATGACAGGCTTTGTAACCCCCTTCACTGTGTTCTTGATGGTTGGCACCAGGCATTTGGCTTTAGTTTCAGCTGACGACATGTTTGTTTGGTCGACAATGCTTGTGAAAACACTAGTCAAGGCTGCTGCTGCTCCCAGACCCATCCCAGTGGCCGAAAGCATCAGACTGACCCCTGCTGTCACAGGTGCCAGGGCGAAGCCAAGGATCGTCAGGACTCCAGAGACAGCGCCAGTAGTGTTGGCCACCACGTTGGAGATGGTGCAGTCCCTGTGTACCTTGTCCACCTTGTCTGCAAGGGCGTGGAGCTTTCGTATCTGCTCCTCAAGCTCCATTTTAACCCAAGGATAATCATTTAAAAACCTCTCTGTGTCCTGCAGGTTGTCTTGGAGGCTGTCTTCATCCTGTGTGGCCATGTCTGCTATGCTGTCCTTCAGAGCATCACGTATTCTATCCACCTGTGCCCTATAACAATAGATGTCAAGTGATTAAGAAAGTTTATTTGTAAAATGTGCTCCATAATGACTATCCTATGGAAATCACAGACCTTGTACCACAAATCCAATGGAGAAAAATTTTGTAGCTACATGGAACTTTTCCTTTATGTTGTACATCATAGATGCTCTCTAGTCCTTAGTCATTAGGGGACAATGGTTAAAAATCTAAGATTCTCTTGTTAAAAGGCATTTGAAAGATACCTTCCCACTCAAGGTCAACACCATCACTACGAAGGTATTTTTCCAGTGAGAATTCTAAAGATAAATACAGGGGAGTGAGATTGGAACAAAAAGGGAAACACTTAATTCAGAGAATGTTAGTGTGTTATAAGGATTTCACCTTTTCCAGTAAGAGGCCTTCCCCCTGCCCTTAGCTACTGGGAAATAATCTGCAGCTCCTACAATGTCCTGCCTCCCTGAAATGTATATTTTCAAGGGGACTTGGGGAGCAATATCACACAGGTTGAATATACTTAATATAAAAATCCTAAACATGAAAGGCATCAAAATTTGAAAGCTATTGAGCATTAATGTGATGTCACAAGTGGAAATTTCTACACATGACCTGATGGGACAGGTCGCAGTCAAGACTCAGGTGCAATAAAAGTATTGCCTAAAAGTACCTTCTGTCCATGTGTGCATAGTGTAAAGAACTGGATTCCTTTCGCTGTCTCTCTCTGTCACTCTCTCCCTCTCTCTCCATATACATGATATATCAGGCAAAAACCAGATTCTGAAACGTTTCTGTTCCCAACCACTTCCCATAAAGGATGTTCAACCTTAATTCTGTGATGTATCACTTCTAACTTCCAGAGGATCTGGATACTAACACATCAACCTCTGGGGTAGGGGAGACCTGGGTAAGCCGCATCAAGATCCAAGAACTCTGGACATTGAATTTAAGTTGAAAAGATTCTTCCCTTGACCAAAAATTAGCTAGGCACGTTGGAACTTCTTTTCCACTAGTTGCTGATACTGGCCTTTGTGATGGTTCATTTCATTGTCAACTTGGATAGATTTGGCATTACCTAGGAAACACACTTCTGGGATGCGCGTGAAGACGTTTCCAGAGGGGTTTAGGAGAGGAGAGACAACCCACTGTGAATGTGAGTGGTACTATCCTGTGAGCCAAGGATATAAAGGGGTAAAGGCGGTACCAGCAGAGCATCAGTATCCATCTCTTCCTGTTTCCTGTCTATGCAGATGTAATATGACCAGCTGCCTCAGGCTCCTGCCACAGGATTTTCCCTGCCATGATGAATTGTACCCTCCAGCTGTAAGCCAAAATAAATTCCTTTTTCCTTAATTTTCTTTAGTCAGGTATTTTGTCACAGCAACAAGAAAGGTAACTAATATAGAAAATTGTTACCAAGGAGTAAGGGTGTTGCTATGATAAACCTGACCATGTGGTTTGTAGTCTTTTAGGATTGGCTTTTGGGAAGAAAGCAAAAGAGTTTGGAAATGTGGGATAGCGACACCTTAGAGTGCTGTAAACACAGTGTAATGGACCAGAATTCTGAGGAAGAAGGGGACAGTGGAGGCCTGGCTCATGAAGTTTCAAAGGGGGATTGGACTCTGTGGATCCAGGCTACATACCATTCATAATACTTTCTGGTCAAGGACCTGACTGCATTCTGCCTGCATTCTAAAAATTTGAGTGAGGCTAATATCTGGAGCAACTTTTCCAAAACTGAAGTTGGCTGACCAATAGTTGTATTAAATGCTCATTTGAGGTTCTGGTTAAAGTTAGCAAAACTTTTGTAAGTTTTGGAGGTAGGTCTTCTTGGAACTTTCAGTATAACAAAGTGTATCCATGCTGACTAAACTGTGCTGTCATTAAACCACATGGTCTTCCTACTGGTCAGGGAGCTGTATGTGGAATAGAAGAGAGCACCAGATGGCAGTTGAGACCTCCTCAGCCCAGGCAGCATGTGGAGAAAACACAAACACATAGCCATCCATCCTCATCAGGGATTAGATCACAGCAAGGAGGGAAGAAATGTCTCTTTCCCTCTCACAAGTCTTCTACTAAGCCTATGGCCACCTTCTGCTTTATGCCTTCAGCACCCCCTTTGCTGTCTTCTGGTCTCTGCCCTATTTCCCCAGCCTTCTAACTACCCCTTCTTTCTTGGCCCACTTATGGTCTGTTCTGACCCCTGGCTCTAGCCTTGGCCCATGTGGCACTAGACTTTGGAAAAGGGCTTATATCGATCCCCATCTCTTTCCACTGACCCACAGCTCTTTCCAGGTCTTCACCACTGTGATGGTTAATCTTAATTGTCAACTTGAATGGTTTGAAAAATACTTAGGAGATTAGTAAGTACATGCCCAAGTATGTCAGTGACAACTAGATCATGACAGCTCTGGCCCAATGAACGGATCAATCTCTCGAAGCATCCATAATATGATGCCATTATTGGGAGATGGTAAAAAGTAGGAGTTGGCCTAGTTGGGGGAAGTAGGTTACTTGGGAGCATGTCTTTGGAGGGTGCATCCTACCCTGGCCCATTCCTATGCTTTCTCTGCTTCTTATGAACTACTCTGCTCTTTCAGATGATTCCAGTCATGATGGACTAACACCTGTGAAACTGTAAGCCAATTCAATCCTTCCTTCCTTTAAGTTGTTCTGTCAGGTATTTGGGTACAGTAATGAAAAATGTAACTAATTCAGAAAATGGTACCAGGAGTGGGATTGTTCCTATGACAAAACCCGACCACATGGTTTTTAAACTTTGGGAACTGGTTTTTGGGTGGGAAACTTGGAATAGACAAGCTAGAAAAGTCTTGTTATATTGTAAGCATAACTTATTAGACTATTCTGGTGGAAACGTGGAAGGCCGAAACACCAAAGTCCAGGCTCATGATTACAGATGGGAGCATGGACTATAATGCCTATTTGACTAGAGACTTTTGTATAATATTCTGGCAAATAATACAATTCCTCAGATGGAATTAAAAAAAGAAAAAGCTAATCCAGAATACCAGGAACACAAGCAGATCATGTCAAAAATTTTCCAACTTTTCCCAAAGCTAGTCCTTCTTGACGCTCCTCTCTAAAAAAGAGGCATTTCATCCTGATTTCACCCCCTATCTTTTTTAAAAAATATTTTAATTTTATTATTTTTATTTTATGTGTATGAGTGTATTGCCTGCATGTATGTGAGTGCACCCATGCTGTGCAATGCCGTGGAGGTCAGAAGGGAGCTTCAGATTCCTCTGGAACTGGAGCTAAGGATGGTTTGTAGCCACCATGTGGGTGCTGGGAATCGAACCCAGGTTCTCTGCAAGAGCAGTCAGTGCTCTTAACCACTGAGCCACTTCTCCAGGCCCTACCCCACCCATCTTTAAAATCTAAGTTTCACTAAGCACATACCAAATGCCGAGTCCTTCACATGTTATCTTATTTTCTCACACTAAAATTCAATGGTTATGAAACCAAGACAGGAAGTGGTAACCTAACTTGACAAGATCACATAACTAGCAGAGGGTAGAAATGATCTGTCCCCTGTGGCTTCCATCTCTCCTCAACCAGAAGCAGTTCCCCACCAGGAAATAACACAGAGGAAATATTCCTTGTGGGCTGTTGAGAAGGAACGTTTCACCCAAACCTCAGGCCTGCCTGAATGAATTGTGCTTTCCCAGAGAAAATCTGCCAGGTCAGGGACCTGGAGGCAGTGTTAGATGCCCCATGGAGATGACCTGGACAATCCAGCCTCGTCCATGAACACCTCCCAGGCTCCATCTTCAGTCAGCAGGAGCTGCAGGTCCTCCTTGCTCATTGTGTCCAGGAGACACGCAGTGGTTTCCTCGATGAAGCATCTGTTGTCTACTTGGGAAGAAAAAGAGGACAGTTATAGAAAAGAACACTATGTAAATATGTAATGTAAACAGCATCAAGTATCAGTCACTTGGGGGTAATTCTGATGGACTCACCAGTGCTAGGGACTCAATTGTGCCCCCAAATTCATATGTAAAAGTCCTAACACCTAGTGATTGTATATGGAGGTAGGGCCTTCAAGGAAGTAAAGTAATTAAAAATGAGGTCCTAAGTTGGGTGCTGGGCTCTTAGCAATAAGACTAGTGTCCTTAAAAACAAGAGAGACATCAGATCTATCCCTCTCTGTCTCTCTGTCTCTCTCTCTGTCTCTGTCTCTCTGTCTCTGTCTCTCTCTCTCTCTCTCTCTCTCTCTCTCTCTCTCCATACATACAGGAGAGACCATGAATACACTGAATAGTCTTCCTCTGCAAACCTCTCCTTCACCAGAACCAACCATTCTCCTTCTTTGTGAAAGCTGGCTTCCAGAACTGAGACATAATAAAGACTTTCTTTCAGCTACCCAGCCCGTGGTATTGTGGGATGGCAGTGGAGAAGACTCATGCACCAGAGCAGTGCTATGGTGCTTTGCAGAGAAATGAATCATTTTCAGCTCACAGCATTCAGAAAGTGAATCTTTTTTTTTTCAATTTTATTATTTTTATTTTATGTGTATGTGTGTATTGCCTGCATGTAGGTAAGTGCACCTGTGTCATGCAATGCCTGTAGAGGTCAGAAGAAGCTGTCGGATCCCCTGGGACTGGAGTTACAGACAGTTGTTAGCTGCCATGTGGGTGCTGGGATTCGAACCTGGATCTTCTGCAAGAACAATCACTGTTCTTAACCACTGAGCCATCTCTCTAGCCCCAGAAAGTGAATCTTTCAGCTGCTGGAAGTAGAAGAGTTTTGATGATGGCTTCCATTTGCCATGTAAGTGCTGTACATCAAATTGCATGCTGGTGCCTTTGAATGTGACTTTCATCCCATTAGTAGTGTGATGGTTAACCACGATTTTTAATTTGAGTGTATTGGGAAATGACTAGGAGATAAATAAATGAAGCACACCTCTGGATGTGTCTGTGAGGGCATTTCCAGAACATTTTAGCCTAATGAATGGATTAATCCATTGATGGATTCATAATTCTGAGGTACAGTATGATATTTAAGGATAATTGCTACTGGGTGATGATGGAACTTGGCAAAGTTGGAGGAGTTACGCCATTGGAAGCATATTCTCCATCTTGTCCTGCCCCCTTCCCATTACTGCTCTACTGTCTATTATGATGTGAGCTGCTCTACCGCCCCCTCTCCCTCATGATGGACCGACACTTCTGATACAGCAAAATAAATCTTTCCTACCTTCAACTCTTCAGTCAAGTAATTGGTCACCTCAATGGTAAACTGACTAACACAACTTCTCACTCCAGCCCCTAACACATTATCAAAATTTGGGGGCCTGGATATTTTTAGGAATTCAGAATTTTAAATCTCTTTAAAATGTTTTTGCAGGAATTTTAAATTTTTCATTTTTAATTGATCTATAATAATGGTACATAATTCTGAGGTACAGTATGATATTTGAGGGTAATTGTATGTCATTACCTCTAATATTTGTCATTTCTTTGGGTAAAGAACATTCAAAATCCCAAGCAGGGGCTGGGGAGATGACTCAGCAGTAAGAACTCTGGCTTCCTGGGTTTGGTTCCCAGCATCCATATAGTGGCTAACAACCATTTGTAACTCCAGTTCCAGGGGATTTGACGCCTTCTTCTGCCCTCCATGGGCAGTGCATGCATATGATGCACCTACATACATGGAGACAGAACACTCATACACATTTAAAAAAAAACCAAACAAATAAGAAAATTAAAGAATGAAATAGAAGAAGTAATAGAATTTCTAAAGTGTAGAAAAAGGAGCCTGGAATGAAGGCGTACACCTCTATTCACAGTGTCGAGAAGACTGAGGCAGGTCACTTGTGTGTTTCAGTCCAGCATGGGCTACAGATGAAGCTCCAGCCAGTACCCAAATGCATTTCTATTCTGACAATAGTGAATGGATTTCCACGTTAAATGAGAGACACAGTGCAAATGGTCTCAGGTCAGTAGAGGCCATGTTACTACCCATGTGAGTTGCCCCAAAGGTGTGAAGTTCATGTAGAGTTTATGGAGTTTCAGAGCAGAGATTGGGGTCCAATGTTTATTTATGTGTATATTGGACATGATATAAAATTGTGTTTCTTAATGTGCACACAAGGGAACTAGTGTTTTCATTTCACAAAAGTGAGACCCAGAAAGGAAAATTAACAGCCAAAGTCAGCAAGCAGAAAGCTGAGGATCTGAACCTAAGACCAGCATTTTTCTTGACAGCTAGTACCCGCTGTTACTGTATTATACTCTATAATGTATCTATGGGAAGATCTTAAATTTGAAACTAACGTTTCAGACAATCTATTATTGGGTAAAAGTACCAGGTCAAGTAGAATCATTGCTGATGATGGATGGTCTAAGACTGGCAGTTGCAGGGGGTTCTGCAGATGGGGAGAGTGGGGGAGAGTGGGGTCCAGATTCTCAGCTCTGATCCTGTGATCTCTCCACATCTCATGTACCTGGCACCCCAGGGGCACCTGAGAACTCAGTGTGCACATTCATTAAAGAGGGAGAAATTTTCCTGGGAATCCACTTGCCCCTGTGCTCCCTCAAGGGCTTGTTGGGAACTTCTGGCCTCTGATCTTTCCTTCTGCTCTTCAAGGTGACTGTTGAAAGCAAAACTTGCTCTGCAGGGCTGATGAAGAGCTGAATAAGTGATCTGCTTCCCAAGGCAACTGAGGGAGGGGAAGAAGACAGTCCCGAGGACTGAGGGTACTTGTGTCCACTGGGATGGGTGGAGAACTGTCTCCTGTTCATTCAAATTTTAGACTCTTCTTTGATCTGAGATAATCAGAATCAGGCCCTGCTTGATGTAGGCACATCTGGTAAGCAGGTCCCCTAACATTGGGGGTGGGAGGTGTGGTTTCCACCTGGAATTAACAGAGCCTAGAGAGAAGTAAAGAGCCAGTGCCGGGGAGGGTCTGTCATGAGTAGGCACCAGCCTGTCCTCATACGCATTTTATATCTGATCCTCAGAGCAACAGGGGACACATTGTTCTTATGGTACAGGTGAGGTAGGGTGAGGTAAAGAGCTGCAGGTCACATAGACAGCAGGGTGTAAATGCCATATTGGGGTGGAGTTCAGTGACACTCTAAGTCATCCTTCCAGTTCAGCCACTCAAGGGACTTGAGCCCCTGAGCTAGTGGAGCCCCCTCAAAAGCAACATTCCAACATCAGCTGAGAGTAAGGAGAGACAGGAGAGCTGAGGGCAGGTGTCAGATCACACCGTCAGGTGGCGGCCTACCTCAAGTCCCCACCTCTCCCACCTCCTAGCCCCTTCTCCCCTTCCCCACCTGGCCCCCACTTCCCTAGGCTGTCCTGGTTCTACTTGAGGGTGAAGGGTAGGGAGGAGGTGAGCCTTGGCCTTGTCCCTCAGGACAGGGCCATGAGGAGGAGCACTTTAGAACTGCATCAGGAGATCCCTCTTGTTCCCAACTGGGGCTCCCCTTCCCATTCTCCACTCTTCTGTAGGCGACTCCGAGGGGCCACCACGGTGCTAGTCTGCAGTGACAAAGCAGCCAGGGAAGAGCAACACAAATACCTGAGGAGGCCATGAGGGCTTCTGGGTCCTCGGCGCCAGTGAGACCTTTGAGAGGCTTTCCTTTCAGCTTGCCAGACTCTGGAAAAGAGAAAACAAACTGTGGACAGGAACGGGAACAGCTGTAGGCAGGCAGTGGTCAGGGACCTGGTCTTCTGTAATCAGTACCACGGTGGTAGCAAAGGACCGAAGGGATTTAGTGCAAAATCACTCTCTTCCCCTGAACCTGGTAGCTCGTACTTAAAGAAGTTGGTCATCTGGCTCTACCTCAGCCAAGGCAGAGGTCTCCTGTCCTGTCAGGATTCTAGAGAAAGTGACTGGCTGAGGACACAGTCGTGGAGAAAGAATTGAACTATACCCAAAAGGAGAGATGGGGAGGAATGTTCTGGCAGTCACATGAGGTGGGAACGTGTGTAAATTGATGATAACAGTGAATATGATTCAGTGTCTGTGATATATAGAGATCCCTACATATACCTCATTACTTGACCATGTATACTCCAGGACATAAAGACTGCTGTGACCCCCATTTGAGAACAGAGGCAATGACCACAAAGGTGAGCTGACATCCTTAAGAGTTTACAGTACTGCCAGAGCCAGGACTCGAACCCAGGTTGTTCTGTTCTACATCACATTCTTCAGTGACTAAGCTCTAGTCCCTTAAATACACAAATGTGCTCCTGTACTCTTCATACTGTAAGTGACTCTTCTCATTCCACAGATGGGCCCTGCACCCAAGCCTCTGTCTTGGTACATTTGCTGGTGCCCTCTGTTGTTTCCTAAGGACCATACCCTTCGCTTCTTCAGGATCCTTTAGCTCACCAGGATACCAAGTCCTGCTATAACTCCTGCATAAACTTTCTCCCCACATATAACTGACTAAATCTGAGACTATTTCCTTAAGCTATTTCTAGAAGCTGAATGATTGCAGCTGGGTATGTTAACATTTGAATGCAGACGGTGCTACAGTTTGAATCTGAAATGTTTCCATGGTTCATGTTTTGGGTTTTTGGCCCCAGCCCTGGTGCTTTTGTGGGAGACAGTAGCAGTAGAATCTTTCGAAGGTAGGATCTAGCTTGTTGAAGTGGGTCAATGGGGGGGACTTTGAAGTTTATACTTGAGGTCCTTGGTTCCTGCCTAGCTCTGAGTATCCTGGTCCAGAACAATGGGAAAAACTCCTGACACACACTCTTGCCATCATTGACCGAGTCTAAAAGATGGAGAAGAATGACATGCCAAAGGCATGTAAAACATTTTCAATAAAATCATACTAGAAAGTCCCCCAAACCTGGAGGAGGAGATACCCATGTAGGTATAAGAGACAGATAGAATACCAAATAGATAGGACCAGAAAAGAAACTTGCCATATCATAGTATGGTTAAAACATGAACTATATAGAACAAATACAGTATTTTGGAAGCTGCAAGAGAGAAACAGCAAAAATAAAAGCAGGTCCATCCGACTAGCAGCTGATTTCTGAGCAGAAAACCTTTACAAGCTGAAAGAGCTTAGAACAATGTATTTCAAGTCCCAAAAGACCGTAGCTGCCAACTCAGATTGTTATACGCAGCAAAAGTGTCTCTCATAACTGAAGGAGAAAGAAAAACACTCCATGATAAATGCAGGGCAAAAGGCTTTAGGACCACTAAGTCGTCTCTGTAGGGGACACTGGAGGGAACATTGTCAAACTGAAGAGAAAGATAAGCATATCCAAGAGGCTACAGGAAAGAATAAATCACACTAGAACAGTAGTTAGCAATTAGAGATCAGGAAAACATGTAGCCCAGACTGGCCTCAAATTCACTATGTAGCTAGGATGACTTTGAGCTCCTGATCCTCCTGTCTTCCCCTCCCAAGTACTGAGATTACAGACATGACCCACCACATCCTCCTCAAGTCTTCCTATTCTTTAAGATGAGAAACAAGAAAATTCTAAAAGCACAGGAAACAGCCACAGTCTGAGGCATGGCAGACCTTGAGCAGGGCATCCCAACGTCCCCTTCCCCAGGTGACACCCAATGTCAGGTCTCCAGTCCAGCTCCCTCTAGTCCATCCTCTCCTGCTTACCAACACTTCCCTGGACTTAGGACTTTTGGGGAGAGGGATGGAGTAGTTTCTTCCCTGAACTGGCAGTTCCTCTGCAGACATACAAAGTCAGGAAATGGACCTGGCCAAAGAATTGAAATGCCTGAATGCCGTCCACGGCTGCCAGCTGAAGGCAGCACACCCCCTTTGCTGTTGATGGGTGTGAAAAGTTCCAGAGTGTTGGAGGACAGTCAGCACAGCATTGAAATGTGCCTGGGTGGGTCCCACTCTGTGTCTGCAGAAGCAGGTCTCCAGCAGTGAGACAACAGAGGAAACAGGTCCACAGGTCCACATGTTCATAGAAACAGGTACAGCACAGGAGGAATAGCTCAGAGCAGCTTGTTTTTTTAACACCAAAGGAGGGAGATAATTGACCCTCAACCATAAGGAAATAGGAAAATTGGAGTCCACTGAGACCAGAGAGTACTCTGTTACCCCAAGACAGAAGAGGATAAGGTGCTGGAAAATACACCCGTGGAGGCCTGAGGGACAAGGTTTGGAACGCACAAGTTCTTGGAGCTAAGTCTGACTGCAGTGTGAGTGTATGTGCCTGTACGACCCCTTCCCGACCTGGACACACAAGACAGTGCCTGTCATTTTCATCCATCCTCTAAAGGTTGCAGAGGCCAGGTGAGGCCCAGAGCCTGCTACCCACCTGCTCAGTATCCTTCCCAGTATCCCAGATAAGTCACTTTCTCCTGCAGCCTCAGTTTCCCCTCAGGGTCTGACGCAGAGTAAGGACTCAGAGACAGGCTGGGTGAGCAGCCCCTGAGCACTGCTGCTGGTATCTTAGAAGCCAGCTTCTGTCCCCATCCTCCATCAGTATAATCACCCCAGAGCCTGCTTGACTCCTCAGGCCTCCAACGTCAGCAGGTTTGGTCCCCTGTTCTCCTCCACCTCCTTCTGTCTGGGTTCCCCTGCAGTGTCTCAAGCACTCTGACATCTGAGCTGATTCCAGGCAGGTAGGTGATCCCTTCTGAAGGGTGCCCCACTCTCTCTTGTGTTTAGGGCAAAGCAGGAGGGAGGGAGGAGCAGCCAGATCCCAACCTCAGTGCAAGCCCAGTACTGCAGCTGCTGAGCGAGAGATCTCTGCTGATGTCTAACCTTGCTAAGCTCATTCATGAAATGGGGCCATAACCCTTCTCTTTGAGAGCTGTTGTGTGGATGAGCAGGTGGGCAACTCATACATTCCCCAACTTACCTAGGAGTCTTTCCCTGGCTGAGTTTGGATTGGTCCCAGCTGTCCTCAGAGATGTGGCTGTAGCCCCCAGCTGCACAACTATGCCGTGACCAGACACAGCCTCCAGCCCTCACTCAAAAGGGAAAATGAAAGTCTCACGTTCCAAGCAAAGCATCAGACTCAGCTTGCTGAGCCCTACCCTCACCCCACACGCCTTGACTACCCGCTCAGAGGAGCAACCTCAGGCTGATTTTCTAGATTCTTCTCCACCCAGCCCATCTCATTGGGGTGGGGGTGGGGTGTCTCCATGATCTTCGAGAAGAAAACTCTGCCACTGTTGGCTCAGGGACCTTCCTCAGATCACTCTCCACACCTCTTGGGTTCTACCCAGCCCTGCCTTTCCCCAAGCACAACTGGTCCCCCAACCCCCAATTCCTCTGGTTGCCTGTTGACACAGTGGTGCTGCTGAGTTTGATGAGACTCCTAGGTAAGTTGGAGAATGTATGAGCTCCCCATCTGCCTATGTGGGTTCTTCTGCCAGGAGCTCCTGCATCTGGAACCATCATGTGTTGATTCCTCTCAGAAGCTCCCAGCATCCTCCTTAGCTGAGCCGGTACCTTGGTAGAAGGGGCCAAAGTCCTGTTCTGTTCTGGAGCCCTGCAGCTGGATGGCTGTGAGAGTTCTTTGCTTTGTCTGGGGAAGAAGGAACTGAGAGGGGCTGAATCTCAGGGGCCAGCATACCCCTTCTTCTGGGGCCTATTTCGTCTTACACAAATGTCATTGGGGTTTGATGGTCACACTCTCACAGATTTTTTTGTTTTTTTTTAAAATGTGTATGAGTGTTGCCCTAATAGTTTGTCTCCATTGCTGTGACAAAATTCTCTGACCACTACCAACTTGGGGAGGAAAGGGTTTATTTGTCTTATATCTCCCAGGTTACAGTTCATCAGGGGGCCCAAGGTAGAAACTCAGGGCAGGAACCTGGAGGCAGGAGCTGGAGCACAGGCCATGGAGGATCGCTGCTTACTGACTTGCTCCCCTGGCCCCTGCTCAGCCTGCTTTCTTATGTAACACAGGCCCACCTGCCCAGGGATAGGACCACCCACAGTGGGCTGGGCCCTCCCACATCACTCAACAATCAAGAAGGTGCCCCATGGACATGGCCACAGGCCAGTCCAATGAAGGCAATTCCCCAGTTGAGGCTTCCTCAACCCACGTGTGTCAAATTGACACTAAAGCTATCCAGCACCAGTGTATTGTCTGAATGTATGTAAGTGCACCCATGTTGTGCAATGCCCCTGGAGGTCAGAAGAGGGTGTCAGTCCCCTAAAACTGGAGTTACAATTAAAATTGTTAGCTGCTGTGTTGGTGCTGAGAATTGAACCTGGGTCCTCTGTAAGAGCAGCCAGTGCTCTTAACTGCTGAGCCATCTCTCCCGCCCTTTCACAAGTTTTGATGGAGGGACAGTGGTGGTTACTCAGGACCCACATACTACAGTTTGCAATACATTTATTTCTCCATTTGACTGGAGTTTTATAATAATTCCCTAAGATATAAATCTTTTCCTATTTTTCAAATCAACAAGTAATTATTGTACATATTGTGGGGGATGTGTTATGATTTTGCAGGTAAAAAACTCATGTGAAAACAGAGACCTTGGCTTTCACCCCACAACTCAAAGAACTCAGAGAACAAGCCAAGACTCAAGGCAGGTGGAGCATTACACAGGAGACTTTGCACCACACTTCCTTATAAAGTTATTTATGTCATTTTTCTGTAGCTTTCCTAATTCCTGCTTCTTCCTCTTTCCATTAGCCTGATTTTTAAGAGAGAAAATATAGTGAGATGCAGAACCATGTGAAAAGTCCACTTGAGCCACAGGCCAGTACGATGGAGACCTTGATCAGAGTGAGCAATGGCTACTGGGGCATTCACAGTCTCAGGGTGGAGTGGTCAGGATGGGCCTGCAGACTCATGGCAGGGAGTGAGATAAGGGTTCTCTAACTCCAGGGACATGTGCAGAGCCCAGTTCATCCTGACTAGTGGCACCACAAGAAAGTCATCCAGAATTCTGCCACCTCAGAGTTGGGGGCTCTGCTAAAACCTTAGAAGCAGTTTCACCCAATGTAAGGTGATCCTAATCCAGTGAAGGCTATCATAAACTGCTGTGGGAGGGTTGGGAGAACATCAGCATCGCCTAGTGGAGAGAGCAGGGATCAGCACCAAGGCCCCTGGCGATCATGAGCACCTCACAACAGCCCAGGCCTTGGAGCAGACGCTTGGCTCAGACCAGTCAGACACGGCTTTGGTGCCCTGGAAATTGGACCTACCTTTCAACTGATCTCCCTTTCTTTAGGGACCATCGAGGAGACGGAGATCTTCCAACTGAGCCTGTGACATTGGGCTTCTGAAATCATCTGAGGGACCAAGAGAGACAAACCTCCAGGACTGCAAAGCACGGGGAAGGGAATTGCATCCCATGTTGACGGCCTCTGTGACCACCTGGGATGGAGCGGGCAGACACTGCTCTTAGTCCCTTATAGCCAGGCCACCAGCCTCATCCCACGAACAATCCTCCTTGTCTTTGCTCAGATGGGACATCCGGCCCCAAAGAGTGTGTGACTTCAGCAATGTTTAGAACTAAGTATAAAGATAACAGAATCAGATCTGTAATCACAATATTTTCTGTGTTGAAAGGCAGATGACTATGCCTTCAGTTCAATGCATATATAATGGTCAGGAGCATGAGACATTTTCAGAGAAGCTTTTGGGTTCCAGTTTCAAACAGGATTGAGAAATTTGCTCTGGACTCTAGGATAAAGCCTCTCTGTTGAAGAAGTTGCCAATGAGCTGTATGCAGAGAGAAGTCACACACTCAAGTTCATTAACTTCATTGGGGTGGGGGAGAGGCAGGTAGGGGGGAGGGGCTGTGGAAGCCATGTTACCAGGCATGTACAGCATGTACCAAGAGTACCACATAGGGTGCCCAAAGGGGAGTCTGCAGGTGTCCCTGTCATGCTACAGCATGGTCTTGCAATCCATTGCCCCTAGATGCTGTAACCAAGATGTTGGACCATTCCAAGAGTGTAGTATTGTCATGTGATCCAGCAATTCTATTTCTGAGGAAAAACACAAAGAAATGAAAACAGAGACATGAACAGACATGCGTACTTCCACATTGGTAGCAAATTGATGTGCAACAGCTAAAAGATAGAACAGTCCAGGTGCCCATCAATGAAAGAATGGTAGTGACAAGGTAACACATATAGAACGGAATATTTCCCTTAGGGAGGTAGGAGTCTGACTCATGCACAGCATAGGATGAAATTTGAGGACATTAGTGTAAATGGAATAAACTGGACACAGAAGGCAAATCTCTCATGCTCCCCTCACATGAGGTCCTCTGGGGCAGTGAAAGCCTGCAGAGGGCAACTGGTTGGGAGTTTGAGGAGCTGTGGGAGGAAGGGACTTCTTATTTAAAGATACAATGAAGAGTTCTGATCTCATGGTGGTGAGGGCTGCTTAACATCAAATGGGATGGTTGCTATAGAACTGTTGACATAACAACAGTTACAGTGGTAAGTTTCATGTGTATTTTAAACAGTTAAAAAAATCTAATATCTTGGGGCTGGAGAGATGGCTCAGCAGTTAAGAATACTGGTTGTTCTTGTAGAAGACTTGGGTTCGAATCCCAGCACCCACATGGAAGCTAACAACTGTCCGTAATTTCAGTCCCTGGAGCCCTGACAGCCTCTTCTGACCTCCGCAGGCATTGCACGATACAGGTGCACTTACCTACATGCAGGCGACACACGCATACACATAAAATAAAAATAATAAATAAAATTTAAAAATCTAACATCTTTTAAATTCTGAATTTTATCGTAATAATGGCAACACAGGGAAAATTCTACAAAAAGTTGTAGTGTTTTGACCTAAAAAAATCATAGATGCTTCAAAGACAGCCCAGTGATGCAAACATTTATACCCTTGTTTCCACAGGAGAAAACTAAACTTAAGACGAGGGAAAGGGCTCAGCACAGCATGACAGTGCTGGGATCATATTCATGTGTGATTCTTATTTTTAAATTTCTGGATCAGTCTGGTTGTACAAATGAAGAGAAATCTTCAAACTGTGAAGGACTCTAAGAATGTGGTTTTCATCCCTTCATTCTCTCTGTGAGATGAGTCACAATCCTTCTAACACCATGAGATTGTTGTCCAGTGGACAGTGGACCTAGAGAGGTCTGACTAGGTCCTCAATGAGCAACTGCCATTGATGTAAATTATAAACATGTTCCTGAAGACTCTTGCCGTGCCTAACACGGTATAAAGCTGCCTGAAATGTTTGCATCACAGTATGTTGTGATAGCAACGAGGCATTAAGACTCTTATACCACTTTGCTACACACACACACACACACACACACACACACACACACACACACACACGAGTATGCTCTTTGGAGTGCCTAATGGAGCAAGAGGAATACTCACCTCCTGCTTAATCCTGCACTTACTCTTGTCACAACCCACTAGGTGAAAATTATCGTGGTGTGTTGCAAATTTGAGCCATGGTAAACGTACTTTCTATCTTTGACTTTCAGAATCAACAGTGGGTTCAAGAGTCTTTTGTCTACATGAGGAGGATGGGCATGTATGTCTGTAGCCAAGGGCTTGACTGGAGAGTAAGCACACATTCTCTGCTTGATTCACAACCTCCTCTCAGCGTGTTTGTGTCAATCATCCATTTCCTTTCCTCATCTGCTGGCCTGATGGTCCAAGAATCCCATCACCCGACCCAAACTACTCTATAATCTGAGAATTTCAAACTGTTATATGACTCTTCCTGGGGATATGTGAACAGATGTTTATTCATTCTAGATATGGAGGAGCACTGATGACAGACCAATAATGATTCTATCCAAGTCTAGTTTAGTGACTCAGTGTGTTTGTTGGGGTTACTTACAGGAGCATATTAAGGAGTTACTTATGGAAGCATGGGTGACTCAAAGATTAATGCCTCACTGAAAAGTCACCCCAGAGTGGGCGACAACTTACAAATGCTAGAGGATGGTGTCGAGTATTGTGTGTCTCTTTCCTT